TATATTTGGAATATTGTCTATACGTACTATGAATACCCATTTGGTTTGTGTTATAATTCTAATGGGCACTTTGGCATCTATATATCTAATAGTTAAGGTGTTTCATTGGTAAATATTTTAAAATGTATATATTTTGAATAATAATTAAGCCTGGAAGATGAGTAGATGTAAATGCGTAACGAATGTATCTAACATTCTTCTAGGCTTTACAAATTCGATCCTTTATCATTTAAACAACAAGCTCCATGAACAATAATACAACGAACATATTGATCAAAATGAATACTTGCAAACCACCCTTAACTCTTGCTTATATTTGTGTTCAAAGTCTTTCTTTCATTCCATATAGTTTACGAATTACCTTAAGACTATTTGGTATAATAACTTTACGTGCATTACATTAAATATTTCAAATTGTTAGTTTATTATTATAACAACTATTGCCCTGGTTTACCTTCATAGTAGTTTTAAACTCACCGTTGCTCATGCTTCTACCCGTTCAGTGTTGTTTTACAACACTGCATAGATGATCCAAAGGAAGAAAAGTAATATGGCCAAAATGCCGAAGGTAGTCATCAAGTTACTTGCCTCACTCATCTTTGCTTAAGCGCTTTAAATCGATTTTGGGAATAAATAAAAACAATCAATAAATTAATAAAGTATTAGATTAGCATTCAATTGGATAGTTTTTATCGATTCAAACAGCCGCGCAGAGGTCAGGCAATAAAATTATTTCGTATAAGACTTTCAGCTGGCGCGTGAGAATTTTATGTGATATCAACATTAAAGATGCGCCCATAAATTTCAAAAACACATATCATTTTGTTTGCAAATTATACAACTAGAAACTTATGAAAAAACCATATGAAAATGTTATTCATATCAAGAACCTCGAGCTGGCGACAGGCTCCACATAGACGAGTATATTTGTTTGATGTTTCGCATTGGTTTTCTGTCTCGTCTCTCTTTGTTGTTGTTCTTTTGCTAGAGCAATCAAAACGTCTGTCTATATGTAGTCAATGAAAACTACGTATAGAATTTGTGGCAAAATAATTCCAGCTTTATAGATTGGAACTGTTCCAAATATTTTTCGATAAATTTATGAGCACGGCACACTTAAATTCGATTGAGATTATGCAAAAATTTCACTCTAAACTGGATTATTCATTTATGCTTTAATTTGAAAGGCCATCGTGTTTACCTGGGCTTTTCTTTTTTCTTTTATTATTATTGCGGACTGTGCTATTAACTGCAGCAAGGCTTTGGCCCAACTAAATTCAATTCACGCACTTGGCCGTTGGGTTGCGCAAAAAGAAATACTATGAGACGCCAAACATTGCCGTGAAAGTATCTATAAGATAGAAAATATAACACACACACACACACACTTACACACACAGATATTTACGAAAACAACGACACTCGAGAGAAAAACGTTGTGCTGTCAACTGGCAAGTGGAAAAATATGTCTGTGTGCATAGATATATTGCGGACTATGGTTCGGTCTCCAAAAATCACATTGGCCGAAATGAGATGCCAATAGTAAATGTTGCTTGGAACATGCTTAAAAGTTTAAGAAATCACATCGAAAATAAATAAAATAAATGTACGCCGCCGGTTTGACAGTTTGCGAGCAGCCGCAGCCGACAAAAATAAAATGGCAGAACAATAACAATGCCTTTTATTAAAAATAATTCATATACTATATTATATAAACATATTCCATGCATGTTTGTTCCATTTTCAAATACAAGAAAATCCATTCTCGAGTGTTTTATTCAAGCAGCTTTTCAACAAGTTTTATTACGCAAAATTCAGGTGCAAAGGAACCTATCATATCTGAATTCTCTGAAAGATGACGTTTCATAAAATGTGTTGGAAAAATCATATTTTAAAAGTCAGTCAAGATTGAAGAGTCTCTGAAAGATGACGTTGTCAAGAGTAATTAAAATCCATTTTTTGAGCCAACGCATAAATTGTGAACTTTAGCTGCGAAGATTCTCAAAACTTAAATAAAATTGACAAATACGCAAACGGCATATACTAGAGACTTTTTAGTATTAAGTATAGACAACGCCTACACTTTCGTAAACAACTTGTCGCATTTTTTTGGATTCATGGTTCTATTCCAAATGTCGGTACCTGACAGTTGTCATTAACTCAATTTGAAAATGCACTGCGCAAATGGTGGACATGAACTCTGAAGCTAAAAAAAAACAATACAACAAATCACATAGTATAGAAATAATGTGCATAATGACTTAAACAATTACTGAAAATTATTTGCATATTTTTACGGTTCAATGCTCATGAAATACTAAAATTATTGAAAATTTGTGCCTCGTCAGGGAACAATTGAAAAACAATAAGAAGAAACGGACCGCCGAAGATTAAATACACTTGTAGACATTTGGCTTACGGCTTTGCAGATATGTGAATATTGTGAAGCTCGTTTTGTGAAAATATCACGAAAAACCGGAAATATTTCCATAAAAAAAATCGTAAAAAAACATATATCACTGTTAAAGTCCTATAACCGTTCATACATGTACAGGGTTTTACTCACTTGCATGCAATGGAGCCAAGGCCTATGATTCATCGTGATTTGAAGTCCTATAATCTATTGCTATCCAACATTTACATCGTCTTGAAAGTTGGCCACTTAAGCATTATGGCTAAGCTGTTGCCTAAGAGTGTAGCAAACCTGCTTATATGGCATCAAATATCAGAATAATAGCTAAAAACGTAGCCTACAATTAAAATTTGAATACCTAAATCCACACATTGTCAAAGGAAAAAGTATACGGATAAGTGCGACATTTACAGCTTTCTCTGGAAGGTGATGACATGCAGGAAGCATTTTCATCACGTTGGGAATACTGCTGGAGAAGCAACTAAATATAATGCGTTTTAGGGGTAAACGACTGTCACTTAAGCACGCCGAATGGCGATCACTTAAAAAATCTCCTTATTTAAATTGTTGGGAACAAAATCAGGAAAAGTGATTCCTCGGTTATTGCGCATGTTCTTTCTTTTAATAGTAAATTTATAAACAGTTATGGTCTATGAAATGAGCCGAATTATCAATTGTAAAATTTCAATCATTCAATCAGCTTTAATAATTTCCAAAACTTTTGCATTTCAATTAAGTGCACATCACATCCAGAAATTTCTTCCAATATTTATGATATTTGAAATGTAAGCTGAAAACCTAACTAAGAACCAGACTAACCAGAAATATTATAAACCTTATGATCGTCGCATACCCTCTACTGGCGATATGGAATTACTCGATAAGAGAGACACCCTGCATATGGATCATGCCGATATCCTGCTAAGAGCTACGCTCATTAAATATATAAACTCTTTAAACTTGACAATTGTAAATCTTTTTTAATTTTTTTCCATTTATATGGAGTGCTTCCAACATTTGATTGCAACGCGTGTCAAATTTGAAATCTTTTCACAAGTTCGACATTGTTGAACTGTCCTAAAAATAAATTAATGGATTCTATGAATTGGATAGATGGAAAAGAAGGGGTGAAGGCGGCAAGGGCGGTACCACAGATGTCTCTCGTTCTGGGGCTAATGTCTATCTATTAGTACCCATTCTGCTTGACATTCCATGGCGGTTATGTGCCCCTTAAAACGGCGAATGTATATCAAAAATGTATATATATACATATATTCATATATAACACATCTATATATATCGTATACTGTGCTATAATAAAATAACTATAGTGGGCGTTGGCAGCCACACGCAGCGATAATAAATTGGGAAACTATAGAAATTAGCTGAACAGGTCTATCTCTGGAAATAATGCCTAAAACAATCAATAAATCAGCTGATCAGCACGTAGAATACTTAATAATCAGACATTTTCGAATCAAATTAAAAAAAATAAACAGATTATGGCAAACCAATGAGTGAAACAATAACAATCCCAAACTTTTATTTATTTTAAGGTTCAGTTTTTTTTTCTTCTGATATTTTGAATTTTGTTTTGATGCATTCAAAATGTCAATCAGATTTACCATGAATGATCGCTCTAAAAGCTACACTCATTAAATATATAAAACTCTTTAAACTTGACAATTGTAAACCTTTCATAATTTTTTTCCATTTATATGGAGTGCTTCCAACATTTGATTGCAATGCGTGTCAAATTTGAAATCTTTTCACAAGATCGACATTGCTGAACTTACCTAAAAGTAAATTGATGGATTCTATGAATTGAATAGATGGGAAAGAAGGGGTGTAATTAATATTAATAATATTTAATATTTAAAGGGTTCTTGTGCTTTAAAAGCTAAAGATAAGAAACAAGAAATGATCGTTTCTACAAGAAACACGAACGCAGTTCTCTATCAATCTCTTTTCAGTCCTTTTCTCTCCACAGATCAATTTAAAGGGAGCGAATTCTCCAATTCTAAACGTTTTCAATTTAAGTGCCTTTAAGATTTTAAGGTGTAAATAGAGTTTTACAGCAGGGAGTAGGGGGTATTATTAAAAACATCATGCTAACTCTCGTATGAGCACTATAGCTCAAGTAATTTATATTCTAATTTTAATCACTTTGTAAATTATTCACACAAACTGTTTTTGAGACTAAACAATTTTAATAACATACATAGACTAGTTTTCTAACAGAATATTTTTAAACGTTAGTTTGGCACTGCTTGTCTCCAAATGTAAAAAATCAAACAATATTACACGCCACAGACTGATATTTAGCAGAACTGCTTATGTTAGAGATCAGCAGGTGATGTAAGTTTAACATATGTGCACTGCTTGTAAAATGCATTATGCAAAGCGATAACAGAGCGGGCTGCTTACTGAACAACTTGCGCACGCGCAATATTATCATTAGTACGCACGGTTATAGATAATACATACACCCGATATCAATCAGATCTTAGGATCGGCGGAAAACGGCAATAATGATTCCCGCACAGTAATATGATACAGAATACGTTTAATCAAGTGGACGAGAAACGGATCCTTTCCCAATTTTATACCCTTATAGAGGATATTAATTTAAATATAATAATATAATAAAATAATAAGAAACTATTCACAATTATTATTCCTAATAAATTTCCATTATTCGCATCTGTTTCGCATACACTTAGCGGGGGGATTCATTAGCGAATCCGGCTCACATTTGAAAGCGGTCTGGAACTCGGGCAGGTTCATATAGCCGCGATTCAGTTGCGCCGCAAAGATTTCATCCTGGCGATTGCACAGCTGCTGAGCGACCGCATAGAAGAGCACACGATGCTCATCCAATCCAAAGTATTGGAGGACAAATTGCTCGGCAAAGACAAAGCGCTCGCCCTGCAACCAGAAGCGATAGTCCCGGAGCGCGGCCTGGAACGATCGATGGAAATGAAAGACGTCGGCCACTTCATGGGAGCTAAGTGGGCGATAGATGGCCGCCAGTTGGGCATCGTAAAGCTGCTGCGTTTGCCGCTCCAGGCAGTCCAGTGCGGTATAGTAGCCATCGGTGTCCTGCAGCAGGCGCGACTGACGCCACAGCTCCAGGCCCTGTGTGGCATAGTAATGGTACATGGGTCGATGCAGCGACAGCAGCACAAAGTGCAGAAAATGGCGCAGGAAATAGGCGGACTGCTGCTCATCGTCCTCATCCACATAGGGCGACTCAAAGGCGTGCCGCAGTTGCGCGCGCCGCAACTGTAGAAGATTGCCATAGAAGCTATCCGGCCTGAATCGCACCTGGCCGTAGTGCAGCGTCAAGTCGCTGATATTGAGATAGCGCTGGGCGTGGAGCTGCAGCAGGCGCGATACCTGCAGCTCGCGACGCTCCACGGCCGCCGGCAGCAGATGTCCATACCAGTCGCGACGGCTCAGAGTGGCCCGCCGGCGTTGCTGGAAGCGCGTGGTGTGCAGCTGGTACATGGCCAGGGCGACATCCCGAGTTAGCTGCGGAGTCAGCACATGCCACTGCCAGTACTCAGCGTGGAGCAGACGCTCAAACTCCGCTGCCAGCTGAAAGCAATCCTTGTAAGCCAATTGCTGCTGCGCCTGCCACAGCACATAGTTGTAGACGATGCGCGGTTCCGTGTGGCGCAGCACCTGCCAGGCATGGGTTATGCGCTCCGCATTCAGCGGCAGCTTGCGCGCCGTTGACAGCTGCTGTTCCGTGAAGTTGAGCAGTCCAAAGAAGCTCTGAAAGTAGTCCATTGTGTTGTCATCCAGCTGCAGCTGTTCCTGTCCAGCTGCAGTCGTGCTCTGGGCACCTCTGTTTGGCTCGGTCAAACTGCTGACCAGCGGCAGCTCGCCCCGCATGCCACGGCACAGCACGCGCATCTCGTGCGCCACAATGTGTGCCACCTGCGAATGACGTCCGGTCAGCACGGTCGACATGCTGTCTTGAAAACCGCGCAGACTGGGACAGGGCTGCTCCTGCATGGGCGCCACATAGATGGTCTGCTCGGCAAAGTATATGTGCAGTAAGGTGGGCAGACCGTGCGCCGCCAGCTGCGCTGCCAAATGTATCCAATTGAGCTCTTCACCCAGCTGCCTGCGTTGCCATTGATGACGCAGAAAGGGCCAGTTCGCAAGAGTCTCTCCATGGGCAGCCAAAAACGGCAGCTGCTGCAGCATGCGCTCCCATTGTTTGGCACCTACCTGTCGGCTCAACACATGCTGCTCCCCCCGTGCCTTGCACTCGACGTAAAGTTGTGTCAACAATTTCCCCGGCAACGTTTGAAAGTTGAGATGTTGCGATTGAAAGAATTCCATGCGATCCTGCATGTTATACAAAAATGGAGGCACTGCATCATCTGGATCCGGAGCCCGGGCCAGCTGTCCAAAGTTGCCACACGCATGCGCATAGAAATCCTCACACGGCTCCGCGCTAACATTTCTCAGATCCATCATCTGCTGCAGATTGCGCTTGTACAATCGAATAAAAAACTGTGCCGACTCCGATTCCCTATTGCTCCCATCTGCTGTGGTCGCCAATTCCGAAAGTACCAGCCGAATGGCTGTCATCAGCACTGGCAGCTGCCATTGCCAGAGCATTTTGCCCATCCGTTCGCTTGGCTTTTTTCGCGAGAACTACGCTTAGTCGATTCTAAGTCTAAGCTGGAGGCAGCTCGCAGCTGATAAGCTGAAAATACTGTGGAGAACAGAGGGCTGCAGTAGATTGCGCCGTTCTCTAATCAAATTGATAGCATAAGCTCCACTGTGCCGCCTTGACCTTAAAGATTTACGCTCAAGCGAAATGAACGCAAGCTTTTCCAACAATGTATCGCTCTCTTCCGGGAGTACCCGGTGTTCCCCAACGCAAATGTATGTAACAGGTTGAAGGAAGCATCTCCGACACCATAAAGCATATATATTCATGATTAGCATCAATACCCGAGTCAATATAGTCATGTACGTCTGTCCATCCGTATGTATGAACGCAAAGATCTCACAACCTGTAAGAGCTAGAGTCATGCAATTTTGAACATAGGTCCTTGTGCACGCGCATTACGAGTTTGTTTGTCCGATAATCGATAACATGTTCCGTTTCCTAGCAATCGATTAAAATATTCAAATTCTGTTTTTGAGCAAACCGCTTATACTTTAAGAGCTAGAATCACCAAATTTGACATGTGGCCTTTAGTATCCTTCATTTTATATATATTTTAAAATTTTTATTTTTATTGCTGCTACAGTAAACGCGCCCGTGTAAAATGAAAAACTATGCATATCTACGACGTTATTTGTTTTTAATCAGTAGGCTTTTGCCTTTAACTCAATCACAAAACTGAAATTTTTCAAAAATCAGTAGGCCTTTGGGTTTTAATCAAGTTCATTTTGCTGTCAATGACAAATAAATGTTTTTGTGTTTTGGACAAATTCCATTTCTCCTTAATCGGCTTATAATTACTTGACAGTTTAAAAAGTGTAAAAATGGAGAAAAACAACAAAAAACCCATCAGCAACCGAAGCCCCACTAACAACGAGAGTCTGGACGACAAAGACGGTTCACCACAGCCGGATAATTCCTTCAATGAGGGATTTAACGATGAAACTGCTCAATATCTGATATATTTGGATTGTAAGCTGAAAAGATACCCACCCCATACCAGACATATCATAATGCTTAAAATTCGCCAAATTCTCTCTGGAGCCGATAGGGGATTGCTCGATAAGAAAAGCGCCCTGTAATCTAGGCAAATGGATTTTCAACTCCATTTTTTAAATCATATTTGCTGTATCTAAGCCCAATAAGATCAAATATATATAAATAAAGATAAAGACTCTTCCCCAATCTGGTATATGTAAATCTTTTTTTAAATTGTTCTCTTTTATTCTCTGTACTTTAATAGCATAATGAACTTGGTCTACTAGAAATCTATTCACAAATTCGACATTTGTAAACTGAACTATAAAGCTTTAAGCATGATTCTAAGCAGATTGATCAGACAAATTTTAAAAAAGAGTTTAAATTGTAATCATGTTTATTCAAAAGGTCTGTCGAACTTATAGTTCCTTTGTGAAATGAACCGCTGCGTGGATTTAGTGTTGAACAATTTTAAACAGCAATTGGCGGGAGCAAAGCAATACGAAATATTTTTAAATGTCAAAGAAATATTAAATATACTCCTAAATAACTGTCATATTAAGGTAAAATTAAGTTTCTGAGTTGTATTCAGTATTCAATAATTAATAAATTAAGGTAGGAGTAATTTAAATACCTTATCTTGATGTGTTTTAATAATTTTTTTATTTAAAATTGATAACAGCAGTAACTAGCTACTTTTAAATACTTGTAACGGTTGCGTCAATATCGCTCATCTCTATTTAATTTTACCTAACTTTGCTCATTTTGCACTTGCCTATGGCTAATCTGCGTAACTATGAATGTTTTTAATGCAAAATATGAACACATTAACAGAAACTGTTTGCGAGTTTTGAGCGGGTTTAACAGTAACACACACACTCACACACACATCTTATGCATGCCTCTGTTAACATGCTTTATTATGGTATTTTAATACTGGATGTTATCTTTGGCCTGTTGATGAACACACCATGTTGAAATGTACTTTGGGGCCGCGCGCGCTTGTATTCCTATCGGCCAAAGTGCATCATTTTATTTTAGTTTAAGCTTTTCCCGATGCCGTTAAGAGGCGTTAAGGTTTTAGAGTTTGTGGGACTTGCTCCTGGCCCATTGTGTGGCAAAATACTCGCCGACTTTGGCGCCAGCGTTACGCGCATAGACAAGGTAAATGCGAAGTGGACTTGTTAGCCAGTGTAAAAGTACAGAGATTATCTTTAGGTACTAGACAATCCGTTGGATGTACTGCATCATGGGAAACGCACTCTGGTCGTTGATTTAAAAAAGGCTGCGGGCCAGCGGCTTGTACAGCAATTGGCCAAGAAATATGACGTGATAGTTGAACCATTTCGTCCCGGAGTCATGGAGAAGCTTAATTTGGGCCCTGGACAACTTTGCACAGATAATCCGCGCTTAATCTATGCGCGCCTAACGGGATTTGGACAGAAGGGCCGCCAAGCAGCTCGTGCTGGCCATGATCTCAATTATGCAGCAGTATCTGGCGTGCTATCGATGCTGGGCCGGGAGCATGAGAAACCAACGGCGCCCATCAATCTCTTGGCTGACTTTGCGGGCGGAAGCGTTATGTGTGCATTGGGCATATGTGTGGCATTGCTGGAACGCCATAGGTCAGGTCTTGGCCAGGTGGTGGATGCAGCGATGGTGGACGGCGCTGCATACGTGGCCAGCTGGTTATTTATGTCCAGGGAGCTCAGCATATGGAATCAGAGTCAACAGCGTGGAGTCAATCTGCTTGATGGTGGCGCCTATTTCTATGATACCTATAAAACAAAAGATGGACTTTTTATGTCCGTGGCCGCATTGGAGCCCCAGTTCTTCGAGCTGCTTAAGGATCGTTTGCAATTGCCGCAGGAGCTGTCGCAGTATGGAGAAGAACACCAAATCCTTGGCAAGCAGCTATTAACTGATATATTTCTAACAAAATCCCGAGCCGAATGGTCAGCAATATTTGAAGATGTCGACGCGTGTGTCTATCCCGTAGTTGATTGGCAGAAAGTCCAGGAGCATGGTCACAACTCAGAACGCCAGTCATTTGAGCGTGTTGACGACATTTTGGCGCCCCGTCCAGCTCCCCGTCTAAGCCGTACACCTGGTAAATTACGCCGAAATGTGCAAATGGATATACAATCCCTGCTGGATGAGCTGAACATAAAGCCTGAGCAACTGCGTCGACTGCAAGAGGAAGGCGTGTTGTCGTTTCCGATTAATCCAAAACTGTAGGATTACAAATAAAAAACGATCGTTTGTTTTCTTGCATTCAAAATACTTTTATTTTTTCCTTGCACACAAACACAATTACATTTCTTATTTCATCACGTACAAACTATCAGTCATACATTGCTTATTTTTAAGCCGCATTTTATACAAACTTTTCGTTAAAGCGGATGAGTAACCCTACATTAGGTGCAACCTTAACAAAATAGTTTCTCATCTACGCTGTTCGAAAAATCAGAGTATGGCTTTGCAAACCATTTGATTAAAGAACAACTTGAACGGAACACGAGTAGTTTATTTTCGGATTGCATTCATTACGCACACTCTTCACGCATGCCAAATAACTCGTACACGCTTCTAGTAAATTAAATAAAAAGAGATACACACTAGTTTTTTTTACTCATAATTTGATTTTCTAAAGCACCGCGCGTCAGCGTAACCTTTTTGCTGCATATACATATGCGTACATTCATTATATGTGTACACACAATTGGCATACATACATTTTTTTTATTAATATGTTGGTGTTGCGTAAATTTGACTATTTTGCCGTTTGTTTAGTTTGTATCGTACGTCCCGCGTAAAGTAATTAATGATAGTCCTTATGTAGTTGTAAGTATTTATGTATGTATTGTATAAGTAGAAAGTCTCAGTTCTCAGTATAAAATCAGTACCATATGTTTCGTTTTCAATTTGTTTTTATCTCAATCAATGTCATTTTTCGTTTTCATCTAAACTTTTAACACTAGCAACCGTTTTGCTTTCCATTGCAAAATACAATTTTTTTACATTGCTCTGCGCTGCGCGTGGTGCTTTACTCAATGATTCACACACACGCACACACATCCACACATCTATAATATACATGGTCATACATACGTACATATGCAATCACTCAATGAAAGACACCCTACACTCACATCAAGCTTCCGGTTAAATGCACTGAACACGTTAAGGAGTGTCCCTAATGCTCTTGTGTCAACCGATTGTTTATTAAGCATAACTTATATATTATATTGAAGTTATGCTAAATAGTGTAATAACAAAATCAGACCGACAACCATTTCATTACAATTTTAAGTTTTTAATTCATTTTGTGAACCTGGAATGATATTAACAGACACCCACTCACACACACACACAAGCTCACATACACACAATATATCAGTCAAAGTATCGCACACAGGAATACATATGCATAAGTAGCAGACTTCGTTTACAATATTTATCTATATGTGTAAAATTTGTGCAAGATCAGCTCTCAAGGGATTCGTAATGTTTCATTCAGAAAATTTCTCTGCATCACTTTCAGACACGCTTAAATTTACAATACATCAATTGTCATAATTAATCATCATCATTATCATCACACTAGCGCACAAGTTCATCAATCATCAAAAATTACGTCTGGAATAAAGATGTAAAAGATGTTTAATCAATTTTAGTTATGTCTTATAGAATTTATGTACTTACGTTCACATAGTATCCAATAAACCTCCAAGTTCCATTGGGGCGTTAGCTCTCAAACATAGTTCTCATACACGTTGTTTAATCCGGGGATTGAAGCGGCAGAGTTACATTAACAAATCATCCGCCATCCGTAGTTACATTTGAAGGTAGTAATACTAATATAATTATTTTGGCAATTCAAATTGTGTGTATAAACTGTTGTGTATTCAAATATAAATGGATGTATGAATATATTTGGGAAGAAAAATATATAAACTGAACTTTGACTTTTGGACGGCTGTGTAATAATTAGATTAAATCTAATGCCAATCGGGAACGTGAGCTAATATACTTTTTGTATGTACTTAAACAAATAAGATTCGCAACTAAATGAAATGGCATTAGCTTTGTCAAAGCAGAAACTGAATTTCGTTTTGGAATATATTTCGGAATTTTCTTCTTTTTAAGGTTCTCCCGAAAGATATCCTTACATTTTGAAAGGGTGCAGAGAATTCTCAAAAGATTTTAAACGGGATTCCATTTTGGTGGAATTTCTTCTTGTTTTAATTATATTCTTCGTATATAGTGTAAATGTTCGTATGTCCGAATTGATTTCGTTCTTGTGTAGTCCTTATAAGTATGTACATGTGGGTGTGACGAAAGATAAAAATGGTTTCAATCATTTTAATAAACAAGCGTCGTGTTTGTGGTTATGTCCTAAACAGTCCTATATGTTGTCTTTTTATTTCTATGTAATGTATATATGTATGTAAAGTGAAGTACTGTAGTGTTACCCTGGTCCGTTTTCGTTAGTTTAGTTTGGTTGTTAGTTAGTTTGTCTAACTATATATATACAATACAATATGACGCTGCAGGTAGTTGTTTGGTTGTTACTGTATTCGTTATGTTTCATATTTTTGCATATTGTTTTAGTATTTAAAATTAATTGCAAATTATTAGGCGCTACTATGAATATTGAATCAATGACAATTTCACGTTGTAAAAATAATTGTTTGTTTTGTGGGTTCTCCCCTTCTATATTTTTCATTAATTGGGATTTGTTCAGTTTGTATTTTGAATTGGCGTCCGTTTAAAATCTTTTCTTTTTTAGTGTTTATCAATTTGAGTTTGGTACATCGTCTACTTTGAAATTTGCTTATAGCTAAAGTCATTCGTTTTATGTTTGAAGTTCGCTTACTGATCTCTAGAAAAAACTTACATTTAGTAATATCACACAACACGCCACACACGCGCGCATTTGAAGTTTCATACATATAAGGAGTGGGTTCTCTCCTATATAGCACTTCAATCACAAACCATATATAGTTTCAGTTCAGACATCCACATACCTCAGATTCACACTGCAACTAGACGTGGAGATTGGTAGTAATTAATAAAGCATTCATTTACAATTTCACACACTGCTCACAAGTATTACATATATTCGCAGTCGCACATAAAGCACACTCACCCATACACACACACATACTCTCACACATACATACACATATAAACACGCATATAAGCGTTTGTGTGAGCGAAACTCATAGTTGCACGTGAACATACATGCTTCTCTATATATAACTAAGAGTTTCATTTCCACAGCTTATTCAATTTTCTTTTGGATTTTTTACATTGATTATTCTTATAAAGTATGTTGCAGCCATAAGACAATTTTATCCAATATTGCTATGTATTTTAGTTAGTTTTAGGTGTATTGGTTTTTATGTTATATAATATATATTGTTACCGATTTTGTTCTTACATTAGCAACTCAATAGAGACATGGACATTATTTTGAATAACTTTTCTTGTTTGCACTCTTGTTTTTTGTTGTTTTTTTTTTTTGTTTTTGCAATGTATAAAATCGGGTTCTGTTTGTGTCATAACAGGATTCGTTGTGCTAACAGGCTGCTTATATGGTAAAGTTGTCATAATGCTTATAAAGAAAGTCTATGTAATTGGTAATGGGACTTTGATAACGCTTCTTAGGAAATATCGAATTTACTAATGGTCTCACACAAAAATAACAATATAAATATCGTAATCATAGCAGGATTTGGCTTATAAATAAATTTACAAACAAAATTGTCTTAAACTTTAGGCGTCGCACAGCAACAATAAATCGGACAAACAAACTTGCAGATAGAATTTTCGAATTCGGACTGGACTGTAATAAAATGTGTAAATAGCAAAATGAATGTTAAATGCAATAATTGCTACAGGTTACTCACCAGTTTGGCTGCGTACATACATTGGGGGTGGGAACACATTAACAACTAAGAGACCAAATTACTGGGCTATAACCTGACTGTTAATCTTCTTGATCTCCTTGACCGCCCATGTACATAACAATTTGGTACGTTGGCCCTTCGAACGCTTGCCTTCAGCCAGGAACTGAGTGATGATCACATCATCCAGCAAAGGATAGAGACGTGGACCGAAAGAGGTGCATAAATCCCCAATGAAGCCGGCTACACTTGCCATCATCAAGTCCGAGACTTCACCCTCTTGTGCAATGCGCTTTATAAAGCCAATAATGTGCACCAGATGAGGCTCCATGTGAAATACATCCGGATTGGCCGTTTGCTCAACTCCCTTAAGACCTTGAATGATACCGGTGTAGGCCTCTAGGACACTCTCCCGTAGTTCATTAATGTATTCGCTCATATCAGAGTTGGAGGAATCCACCTGTGCAGAAAAAGAGGTATATTATGTAATCGCTGTTAAACACTGGACAGTTAATGATTAATATTACCTGCAAATTGGAAGCTGCCCGTAACATATCCAAAACTACATTCAAATACTTGAGAAACTCGCTCCCAATGCTCAGCGCCATATCGCCAAAAGCGGACAGAATTTGCGGCTTTACACTGCGATGAAGGTTCGGCTCGGACAGATCGTTCATTAATACGGACATTATTTCATCGCAGTAAGGCACCATCAGATGCTTTAGGGCGCGACAAATGTCACCAGTTAGTCCAACGGAAGCACAGCAAACCTGGTATTCTTGATGATTTTTGAGTCCCATTATTAGGAAATCTTTGAAGGCTGGCATGTATTTGACAAATTGGAAGCCCAGTAGCTCGACCAGCGTGGATACAGCCAAGAAGGCATCCTCTTGAACACCACCTGACTTTCCTGCGCTTGAACTAAACATGGTGAGGAGTGCGGTCATAATGGCGTCTGAAATCTGTGGAGCATCCTCCTCGCGCACCTTTCGCAGCACACTCTGGAGCGTAGCACAGAGCAGAGACTGCAGGTCATTAAAGTGACGGCGATCACTGTGGTTGCTGATGTGATTCTCCATCTGCATAACCTGGTTTAGACGTTCCAAGATGACAATGGTGGTGTGCTGCACGACCAGGTAGCAATCCAGAGGTGAATTCTTAATCATGTTCATTAAGGCCTCGTAGGCAGCACTACGCAAATTGGCCTGAGCACCATCTGACCGATCGGTGGCTTCCAACAGCTGTGTGATAATAAACTCAAAGTAAGGCGACAGTGCATACGATTCAGGTGTGTCGCCTTCATTGGTGACGGCAGCTTCGTAGGCGGCATCCGACAACCCTATAAAAGCCCAGCACACATTAGCGGCCACGCGCGGCTCCGACTTAAGACTCTTGACGAAGCACTCGAGCAAAGTTTGTAAATATGTTTTGTTGATGGCTGCTTCTGGAATAATCTGAAAAGCAAGAGGTTTAAAGGTAATTATATGTTATTAAAAAGAAAATTAAATGTACATAATTAGGCATAGAAATATTAATTATCTCAAATTCGAGTGAGGGTAGCTTCGTATTGTAATAAAAATTATTATATACTAGTAATCACATTCTGCGAATAGTATTCGCTGTATTTTGTGCGTAAGAAGCAATGCAACAAACTTATTATAGTTTTGTCACATGATCGGCTTTTTGATCAATAATATATATGCTTATGGAATTAAAAATGATTCGATAAGGTCGCACTGATCTGTACTTACGTCGCATATACGGCCAAAAGTCCAGGCCGTGGTGTCGCGAACTATGACGCTTGAATCGTACATTAGGCGTATCAAAGTGGGCATCGCCTGCTCAACAAGTGGTTTCAGCGTGTTAATTTCCAATCCATTGAGTACTGAGCCAAAAGTCATGACTGCAGCATCGCGATAGCGCCAGTTGGGCGATTCGATGTTATCCTTAATGAACGGCAAGACATGCGGTACAATTTCATCCTCGCAGCAGGTGGCTAACAGCATCAGACAAACTGAGGAAGCTTTGGCCGGACTCCAGGAGTCTTCATCGTCGCATTCGTCTTGATTGGTGAGCTTCTCAACTAGGACCGGCGTTAAGAACTGGAGAGCTCCTCGTGCATAATGCTTAGAGACACGCGGTGGTGCACGACCCTGGTCGGTGGCCTCTTGGCTCTCGATGGCAAGATCGATTTCCTCATCGCTCACATTTGACCAGAATTCAATTCCCTGGAGAGCGATTGCATCATTGTCCGACTTCATGGCCTCCAAGGTTATTGGGAATAGTGCCTGAGCCATGTAGGGCTCCATAAATTGGTAGTACAGTGACATGATCTTTACTAAGCACTGCAAGGCAGCAACACAAATCTGTGTGTCTGTGCACTGCGTGGCCTCACACACCACCTCCATGATGAAGTTTCGTTCCATGTCCTTCTCAAAATTTGCCTTGGTAAACTCGAGAGAGTTGTGTAGCGCCGTCGTTGCAGCCAATCTGACATGATTGCTAGGCTCCTGCTTACGCATTCCATGTATGATGGCCGTAAGTACCTGATTGGACTGGTTTTCAAGTACGCCATATTGGATATCCTGGCAAATGTAACCGATTGCCTCAAGTGCAGCCTCTCGGTGCATTTCGCTGGAGCCCTCATGAACGACTTTGTTGACGAGCGTCTGTATGAGTATGCCCCAGCGATTGATGGGCAACTCAATAACAGCCACATAAGCAACGCATTGTGCTGCGCAAGACGGTCGCGTATTCTCAGTGCCTAAGGCGACAAGTATCTGCGGAGACAAAAAATTGATTTAAATTAATGGATTGCATGCAATATGCAAAAAGCGATAATGTTAAATTAATCAAAACGAATATCACATGACAACAAGAAAGAATGGCTTTTTGCGGCACGCCTTGTAGGATCTTCGCTTACGGTTTTCAGATATGTGAGAAGGATTGTGTAGCTCGTAAATGCATATTTCAGTGTAAAGGTAAAAGTGTAAAAACTAATTTTCGACCGATTCATTTGACTCTGAAGATTTGTCTCATTTGGGTGGTACATGGTAAATTGTGCGGAGATAAGAACTTAACTTAGTCGCCTTTGCCCAACCCAGTTATAAAATCGGTCCTTATGATAATGTGACCAATATCGAGACGTCGACATCAACGCTAAAAGGTCGTCCGGCTAATTCTGACTATGGAAAGTTTGCTTTATATTAGACTAGTTTGCGTAGAAAAAACAGACGGACATGGCTATATCAACTCGGCTACCTACTGATACTGATCAAAAATATATACCCTAAGGGATCGGAGATGTCACCATCAAGACGTAAGACATATTATGACAAAATTGTAATATACACTTTAAGGGTTTAAAAATCAGTATAGCTAGAATGACAAGCATAATCCGTACGTACATTGTTTTTGATTAGCTCTCGCGTTTCCTCGGGAAACTGATGCCAGCGCTCCTGATACTGTTGACTGATCTTCTCGTCCTTGCTCGTCAAGTGATTTTTTAATTGAAGGCCAGCTGCCATGCGCGCCACGGCGCTGTTTGATGTATCCACAAGGATTTTAGACAGTGCTTTGAGAAATTCCGGGAGGTTGCTGGCGGCAGCCTGTTCCAGGAAGTTCTTTGCCGAGAGCAGTTCATTTTTGTCTGCGAGAAGTGAACAAATTTGAGGTTATGTTGCTCAGCTATATACAATATGTTTTTTTTTTCTATATAGTAAAATAAACGTGTGTATGTATATATATATTATATATATATATTTGTCATGCAGATATATATGTATGCAATTGTTGTGTATAGCAACAGAACATACGCTTATGCTACGTTGCAACCCTGCGCAACATACGCGTCACTGCCGCCGACGTTGCGCCGCAGCAAAGCCTATAACAAAATGGCTTTCTGGTTGGCCCTGAGCAACAAAACTTAGGTGCTTTTTATAGGTGCTTGCATCGAATGAAACTGAATGTACAAACATGCTTAAAGGATCTTTATCACTCACCTGGTGAGACCGTCTTCTCCAAGATAACAATTAGTTGGCGTGTTATGTCTGAAGTCATTTTTGCGCTCTTACTTTCGATTTCGTGTAAATGCCGTAGCTGTTAGGGCGCGAATGTGTGGAAATTTTTCGTAATCGCTTAGCTTTCTATGGTGTGTATGTATGTGTAAATATAGACAATACCGAGCAGCTGGTAAATGGGTAAAGAAAAATGAAATATGCTTTGTAAGATCGACATTACGACATACACACTTTGGACATATTCGTGTCGTCCTATAATTGATTTTTTCGCTTTTATACTCACTCACTATGCGTGTCTGTTTCCCTTTGTCTGCGCGTTGCTGATGCTGTGTTGCTATTTCGATTTTGGCTATTTCAACTGTCAAAAAACGCGGGACCAGAGCGACTGTCGCTCAAATTGATTAAATATATAACTTAAATTTGCTTAGCTGCAATTAACTTGGAACAAGAATTTTAATGTTCGATAAAACGTGAATTGTTAAAGAAAGAGAAGCAGGCCGGCTCTGAATAATTCTCGACTCCACATGGAAAAATGCTGCGCGTCGATCTTTCTGCAAGGTGGCAACCCGCGGATTGCGCATAGCTGTCAGTTGCGTTCAAAGTTGATGCGCATCACTAAGAAACACTTAAAAAAGATTACCCGATTTTAAACAAACTACATTTTTATTGAACGGATATATTTATTCGCACAGATTTTACTTTTAAATAAAAGTTTTATCGAAAAAGAAATTTGACTACAAAAGCAACTCTGTTGCCAGTTGCCCAGGTTGGCAGGCCGACTAGTGGCAACGCCACTTTTGCAATTGCACAGTGCTGACGTTTGTTAGACAGACAGACATAAGCCGAAAAAAAAAACAAAATTTGACAATTAAACTCCAACTGAGACTTTAATAGACATCATCGAGAATTTGGCCGAGTCGCCCCACGTACTGATATCATTCCGTTAACGGGTATTACATCAACATTTACTCAAACACTTTCTGGCTCGACATCCACCTGACTGGCTCCGTTTTTTGTTGTCAATTAACAAGGAATGAAACCGTCTCGGTGCCGTTGCACCATGGACCCTTCTCTAATAATTCTAGTGGTGTTGTTTGTTAACACGTCGACGATTTCCGAAGGTTTCTATCTGCCTGGCCTGGCACCGGTGAACTTTTGCAAGAAATCGGATGTGTCAACTACGTGCAAGGTAAGTGTGTGTTGGTTTCATACGTATGTGTACGTGTGTGTTTCTGGTGTTCGCAACATCAGAAAACGGTTCGCTCATTGTTAATGGTCTGCCAGGGAGGTTGCCCCCCCTAACGGAAGAAGTGATAAGCACCCTGAGAGTGATATTGCTTCGTGGTATGTATGTATACTGTGTAGGTGGCGTGCTGACGTAGATCGTAGTGTTTAGCATGTTAGAACTGCTTACATAGTAAATACATAAGGAAGTATGTTAGCACAGTTGGCTGTAAGACGTACGTTTCTGCTGTGCTCTAAATTAGAGCTATGTTTTTCATGAGTCTTAAGCAGATCTTATCATTTTTTTCTCAATTAGTATTTCTCATAAAGCTGTACGTCTATGTCGATAAGGCTATTAATTCTAGTTGACACTTTTAACGAATCTTTTTCTGTTTGGAATAACATGCACTTTTATACCTCTTTGAATGGCTATAATTTATCATATAACATAAAATATTGACGAAAAATAGGATGGATCAAAAAAAAGGGTTTTTGAACATATATAGCTGTCAAAAGCAGAATCGGTGGAAATTGTTTTCTTGTATGAAACATTTTTGTTAGTTTAAAATGCATCTTGATTTCAATAGGAACAATCGGCATTTAAATTACGTGTTTTATTATAATTTAATTTGGTTACAAAGTATGTATCGCATCTCCGATCCCATATAGTATATAAATTCTTGATCTGTATCCACATGCGATTCGTCTATTATAAAACCTTGCATACCAAATCACATATCGGCAATAGGAATAATCGCACGAAGATTAAGTTGTAATATTTTGTTTTCCAAGATTTCTTGGCAATACCGATCCTTACTATGATTCTAGCATATTTGTAAAATCCTATTAACATCGGACTTTCTATCTCAGTTTATGTATACTTTCAATATGTGATTCCGTTATTTAGATGATAATATTAATCAAATGATCATCCTGTAAGCTCTCATATTTATTTTGTATATTGGGAATGTACATAATTGCAGAACTTTGTACCTGGATGAATAATAAAACTGGTTTTTATATCATTCTCTACGGCATACAGTTTTTCGATTAGGCACAGAAATTAAATTTTATCCAAATATGTTTTCCAGTCGGATGTCATTTTGTACGTAAATCGCTTAAATACCGAGGAATCTGTCATTCCTTATGAGTACCATCACTTCGATTTCTGTCTTGGAAGAGAGGAAAACTCCCCGGTTGAGAACCTCGGTCAAGTAGTGTTTGGCGAGCGAATTCGCCCTGGTCCCTATCGCATACAATTTTTGGAGGATGTGGAATGCGCTGTGGTAAGTGAAAATAAAACACAACCATGGCTATCGATGAATTATTTTTAATTTAAGGCTTGCCGCAAAAATTATACTGGCGGCAGTGCGGAAAGCGATCGACGGATGATGGTGCTTAAGAAGGGTATTAGTCTTAATTACCAGCATCATTGGATTGTGGACAATATGCCTGTTACTTGGTGTTATCAGCTTGAGACGGGCAAGCAGTACTGCAGCATTGGCTTTCCGATGGGCTGCTTGGTGCGAACAGATGGCGATGGCTGCCCCATCAATTCGATATACAATCGGCCATTGCACTATTATCCGTTCAATCACGTGGATCTGGAGATAACTTATCATAGTGGCGCTCGCGAGGATTGGGGCATGGGCTTCGGAGGCAGCAGTGGTCGTATCATATCTGTAAAAGTGACCCCGAAATCATTAAATCACGCCGATCCAAATAAGCCAAACTGTTTGGGCACTGAGCCGCTGGCCATACGCGAGAGTTCTCTTAAGAATGGCGAGTTTCTGTCGATCATTTACACGTACAGCGTAAAATTCGTGCAGAACGACGCGGTCAAATGGTCTTCGCGATGGGATTATATACTGGAATCAATGCCACATACGAATATTCAATGGTTCTCGATTCTCAACTCTCTGGTCATTGTGCTGTTTCTAAGTGGTATGGTCGCGATGATAATGCTGCGCACATTGCACAAGGACATCGCGCGATATAATCAAATGGACAGCGGCGAGGATGCACAAGAGGAATTCGGTTGGAAGCTAGTACATGGTGATGTTTTCCGGCCGCCACGTAAGGGTATGCTCTTGTCCGTATTTCTTGGTTCCGGAGTGCAGGTACTGGTAATGGCTATGGTTACTTTGGCTTTTGCTTGCCTTGGATTTTTGTCGCCTGCAAATCGTGGCGCCTTGATGACATGCTCCATGGTGTTGTTTGTGTCGCTGGGAACCCCCGCCGGGTATGTTTCAGCGAGAATCTATAAGAGCTTTGGCGGTGTCAAATGGAAGAGCAACGTCATCCTTACTTCAATCGTATGCCCCGGGTGAGTTGCTATTAAAATCTCGATTACTTGCTTAATTTACAAAAGGGATTCTCTTGCGTAGAGTCGTTTTCTCGCTGTTCTTTGTGATGAATCTAGTGCTTTGGGGAGAGAGCAGCTCTGGCGCTGTGCCTTTTAGCACACTGATTGCCTTGTTGGCTTTGTGGTTTGGAGTCTCAGTACCGTTGACCTTTGTTGGAGCCTACTTTGGTTTTCGCAAGCGAGTAAGTGGCAATATAATACGTATTTTTTTGTTTTTGTAGATGATGTGAATAATGCTGTTAACTTTACTCTTTACATTGCAGTCATTGGAGCATCCAGTGCGTACCAATCAAATACCACGTCAAATACCAGATCAGTCAATCTACACGCAACCTATTCCCGGTATTGTTATGGGAGGCGTTCTGCCGTTCGGCTGCATCTTCATACAGCTGTTCTTTATACTAAGTTCGCTGTGGTCAAATCAGATGTACTACATGTTTGGATTTCTCTTTCTCGTATTTCTAATACTTATCATAACTTGCTCGGAGACAACAATTTTGCTCTGCTATTTTCATCTATGCGCGGAAGATTATCATTGGTGGTGGCGATCGTTTTTGACCTCGGGCTTTACAGCCGTTTATTTGTTCATATATTGTTGCCATTATTTTGTCACAAAACTCTCGATTAAGGACAGCGCTTCGACGTTCCTCTACTTTGGCTATACAGCTATAATGGTATTCCTTTTCTTTTTGCTAACCGGCACAATTGGCTTCTTTGCTTGCTTCTGGTTTATAAGAAAAATCTATAGTGTTGTCAAGGTCGATTAGGCGCATAAATCAAGTAATTATACAAATGTGCGAGCCCGTGTGTTTTGTATGTGTAGCCACAATTTACACTTAAGCCTAATGTGTGTGATTTCTGCGCTGTGGGTGAACAGCCGATTTTCTGTTTAATATAATGAACTTATTAGTATACACATAATACATCATAATGTATATAAATATATGTGAGTAAGTTGTAGTACCGAAGCGCGCAATAATGTTAAGTATAACCAGAAGTACGAGAAAGGGTGAAAATCAATTGTGTAGGTAACATGTTTCAAAAACAGTCTTTTAAATTTTTGGCATGAAGCTTAATCTTTTCAATGTAACGTCCTATTTACGATATAAACATGAATCCGAAAAATTGACAAAACAAATATATATACATAAAAAATAAATTAACTCGCTCCTGTATCGTTATTATTATTAGTATTCTAATTTACTGATTTGTAATTCGAAGTACATTTCCTTTTGTTTATTCGTTAAAACAAAACCAATTAATTTTTAACTAATGCTTGGATTCTAAGGATAATAATCATGATTGTAATCATATGTGTAATATTTTAAAATATGTACTTTAGTTGAAAGTGATTAAAACCCACTTTGGAATTAAAAATTAAATTATAAAACTACAATTTAAATAAGTCGCCCTCTTCCATTCGATATTGAGCAAGGGTTGCAACCCTTTGAAGTGCACCAGAAACGGCAATCGGCACTTTTGAGGCTTCCGCTGAGGTGCAAAATTGTTTTCATTATCATTTGAAGAACATATATTTCAAAGAAGCGTACAATCGATCCCAAATTAATGTCCAGCCAAATTGTGGAAAGTGAGGATGAATTTGATGAGTCTTCGGAGTTGCAACAACACAACAAGCTCGAGGCGCAGCCATCAGTGGATGTGAATAGATTCATTGATTTAGAAATATTTATGATTATTCACATTGGACACCATTTCAGGAAGCCTTCGATTTGGACGATCTGTTGCCAGTCATTGGCGAGTTTGGCAAATATCAGAAACTTTTGGTCTTTGGCATTTGTCTGCCTGCTTGCATACCATGCGGATTTTGTGCCTTTAACCAGCTCTTCATGGCCGACACCCCAGATGACTATTGGTGTCGGGTTCCCGAGCTATTCCAATTGGATCTCGAGCAGCGCAAATATTTGGCCATACCCAAGGAACTGGTAAGCCACTGATCAGGGTGTAATTATAATTATGATTGTATTGTACTTGTAATTGTATTTTCAAACATATATTTAGGA